ACTAGTGTCTGTTTTTCAGTATTATGATAAAATTCACTACTCCTAGCTATATCATGTTTGTCTGTTTTTCACTATTATGATAAAATTCACTACTCCTAGCTATATCATGTTTGTCTGTTTTTCACTATTATGATAAAATTTACTACTCCTAGCTATATCATGTTAATCTAGAGTTTCCATTTTCCAGTTGAAAACAATGTAGCATGCAACTAGATGCAAGGAAACTAAACTCAAACTAATGAACCCTAAAATTAGATCTATAATTAACCAAGTGGTATAGTTCTGTGCTGCACTTACTTGTACTTCCTATTCAACACAGAGTAAGTCTAAATGGAATTAAAACTAAACACTAGATCTGTAAGTAACACATATACAGTTACAATGTATTTATGAATACATGGTAATACTATGTATCAAGTACAAAACACAAACACTGTACTTGAGACTAAATCATAATTTACCAAACTTACATAGTTGGATGACTGAACAATACACCTAAACTAAACACATGGCACATTTGTACTCATACCTATAACTTGGCAGTTGGTGGCTGTGTAATTAAACCTATATCTAATCATTTGGTAAATTAATATTTATTAACATAGCTATATTTTTTATAAACTCTCACAACAGCAAGTGGACCATTATAACAGATTTCTTTTTTCTTTCCTTTGCTCTTTTCCTTCTTAACCCCTCCTTTTTCCTTTTTCTTACTTCTTTTCTCTCTTATTTGCTGTCTTCTTTTTTGAAGTATTTGCTAATAAATGTGTATTTCACATTGTAAACTATCCCAATTAACTCATTACTGTGTTTCACTATCTCTGTTCTGGAACAGATCCAAGCCAAGTTTGAAATTAAAGCAGGCCTAACAATTAACTCATCACTGTGATTCACTGCCCTTGTTTAGTGTTTATTCTAGAATAGGCCTAATCAGCATTCAGTTTGATTGAACACTGTAGGAAAATGTAATCTACAGGCTTTCATATTTCAGGGCTTGTATATTGCTATAATGGAATTGCAGTCTTTTTTTACTCTTTTGTTCCCTCTTTGTTTCTTACACACACACCTATAATATAAAGATGAGATCAATATTTAAAATAAAGGTATGAGGACTGCTACTCAATATTACAAGTAAGGGTGTACTTATGATAATGAAACAAACAATCATTAAACCTATGCTAGTAATAAAGTTTAGCATATAATTACAAAATCTAAGCAAATTCACTCAAGTTATCTACTGTATCCCCAAACTAATCAGAAATTAACTGAAACATTTATAAGAAATTGATGAGAATATCAAGCTAAGCCTTAGAAATACAATAAATTCTAAGAACTTATCTTTCACATGTATTTACTAACCAGTGCTTCCAGTGAAAAACCACTAGAGCAACACAATACAGGTAATAAACATCAAGTAACTAAGAATCAAAGTCAAATCTTTATTTTTGATGCATTTTGTATTTCTTAATTCTTGCTTGGTGGTTGGTAGACTACAATCTTAACCTACAGAAAGACTATAGACATAAGATGTGAACTAAGATAAATGATCAGTTATGTGATAACATTAAAACATGTTCTAAAATTAATTTTCTCAATGAATATTTAAAACCTTCATATTCCTGGACATCAGAATTCTATGATCCATATATCTAAATTTACTTTTACAGTTCACCAAAAGAAAACTCATCATGGTTAATGAAAAACTTGTAGTCCTTAGTCACTCATAACTTCTTACACGAACTGATACACAAACCACTTAATATAAAACCTGACATCCTCATGTTAAGTTCCAATATAAATTTACTCTAACCTTCAAGATAAAGCCATTGAGGTAACAAGGAAATAACTGAGTTTTTTACAAAAAATCCCAATACAGTTAAACTTCATGGGCTTGCATCAGATATTCTTGAAACAACCCTTATATGTATTTTAGGAAACAGTTACATTTGATTCACAATTGATTTTTACAAAGTCAAGGTATTAGTATGAGTGTAGAAATGCAGCAGTAATTTCTGTGATACTTGTGTATATTCTTGAAAAAAAAGGCATTACTCAATTAATATTACTTAACTTGATATTGAAGTTTTGGTATAGGTTCGAATATAACATACTTAGTCCTTATAATCATGGTACTGAAATGTATTTCAATTTTATGGGTGACACCTAACGATAGAAATAACTCTACAAACCTTAGAGGTCACCCCAATCTTTCTTATCTAGACTCTAGTCATATGTCTTTACGGTAAATAATTCACAAGAAAACAGTTAGTTTACATTATGGCTCAAATCCCTAGAGTAAATAGGGGTCATTATGGATCACACATGGAATTCAGTTGGGGTGTTTAAGATAAATCAAGAGAAAACACAGACACACACAAATTTAACTTAAATACTCAATGCTACACAATGGCTATCTTAATATATAGATATATCACATCTTTATTAACATTAATTTTATTTTTTTAGTTTGCTTCATGGTTTTAAAAACAACATTAACACATACACACGTATCAGGTTTTGGAATTTCAAGAACAGCATTAGTACACAGACTTGTATAGTTAAAATGGGTTATTTAATTTTTACAGAAAAACAGTGAATTACTAAACTACACCAATAAAAAAATTGTAATTTGTAATACTTCTAAAACTATATATGGTAAGTGGCGTGGTAGAATCTAACAAGAAATTCAAACTTTGCCAACCTGAGCAGTATTGAGTATCCCACGAAATGCCCTGAGTATCAAATCTCCTTCATTATTTCCACTCTTTGCATTAGCAATAACAATCAATGGACACCATGGTCTAAAATTGGGAAGCCTGACCTCACTAACAACAAGATGTCGTCTCCCCTTCAAACCAACCAGTTTCAATCGCACACAGTATGGAGGAACAATAAATGATTTGAATCTGCCAAAGTCACAGATTTCTGCCATCATTGGTTGACAACAAGTGTGAACTGTTCGTTGACACCAACAACAACGGAAGTCAGTTAGAGCCTGAAATCCACACTCACCCTCACAAACATCACAAATGCTCCCAAGTGGTAAATTTCCTGGAAAAAATACAATCATAATTTAAAAAATATCACAATACGCTGTAGTATATCACAGTATCTGTGTTATTCTCATACTTACATTCATGAGTCAAATGAATAGGCAGAAAACTTATGAAATCTACCTTTGATTTTTGAAACCTTTTTCCACATTTTAAAGTAAATTTACAGTATTACTAAAATCTTCACTGAGAATAAAATGTATTCAAAGTTCATTACAAGTGGATGAGCTCTTAGTTTTTGTAGTGACTTCAATATGATTACCTTTCCAAGGTGAGTTGGAATCATACTTAAATAACAAGTAAGAGTAAGGAATGTTATATTGAATACTTCCAGCCTAAAATGTATGGTTATTGTATGTTAATATTATAACTATGACTTTAAAAATAATAGTTTTTACTTTTTCCTGAAACATTTCAAAGTTAACTACCTTTCAGCAAGATTCCTATTTAAACCAACCAGCCTGTTGCTGATCGTTCTTAAGAATGACCCTTAGATTTATCACCTCAATGATAAATGTTAATATAGGCAATCTGTATCTTCACAGTGATTGTTAGTTTGGGTGGAAAGACAGTTATCACAAACCACATTTGTCTGAATGTAACTGGCCATCTATCTAAGGGGATATCCTTTCCCAGACTATAATTTGTTTGATGTTAAGTGCTAGTCTAGTTTTTAAAATGGTATGACCAAACTGGGTAAGGCTCATCCCATAGTTTTGTTTTATATTAATATATGTTAAGATCAATTATGTTATTTTTATTTCAAGTTCAATTGTCTTTTAAGTTTTGAAGTTGTTATTTTTTATTCACTTTTGCAATTTAATTTCATTCAATATCGTTCTTTGGTGAAACTTTATTTTTGCAATGTTTCCTTTTGACTCAATATCTTATGATCAATAAATGTTTTTTTTATTTATAGTGAGAAGCATATCTCTTTCTTTCTAAAAATCAGAAGTCAGTTTCATTTATTAAACTCTTTGAGCCCTCTGTTTTGAAGGTCAGGTCACCTGCTAATAACAATTTCCTGCCCAAAATGAAAAGAAACATCTTTTTCTAAAATAGTATGAACTTAATATATTATTATTAAATTTTTAATGAACATATAACATACTTATATAACTATTTCAGAAGTAATTAATATAGAAATACAATTATTACAACCTTAGGCCCATACAGGCATCCACCCAAAACAAACTACAAAAAAACCTGGTATAAGCTTTAAATTAGGTAACAACCATGTAGCAAGACCAGAACTCAGTACTGTATTTTGTGACTCATGAATTGAATTCTGAAAATATAGACTAAATTAACATTTTCTTCATCTGGAAATGTATTTTAGATATTTACTCACTACATTGCACAACAAAGAGCTATTACCTTGAGGTATTACCATGATTTGTGTGTATGTCACGTCTTGAATGAAACTCCTACTCTTACATGTACTAATGTGCATTGTGCCAATCAATATAAGGGTGATATATTCTTCATATTATTTGAAAAAAAGCTAATTTTTGATGACGCAAAATAAATACACCAGAAGTAGAGAATAAGGGTGGGAGGTTGTGCAGAGAGATGAGTAACTATTTGATATATGTTTTCAAATAAGAAAAATGTTCATCCAGCTCTCTACACAACAAAGAGCTAGAATTCCAAGTTGAGAAGATTGTGGAGGGGCCAGTGCAGATAAAGAAATTACAAAAATGAGTTCCTTTCTAAAAACAGTGTCAGAAAAGAAAAACCCATGGATCATGTCACCCACTGGGAGCAGTGGGGGGGATAGCCTATTGGGGCATTACTCAATAGGAAACCACATCAGTCTCATGCAGGGAACATTCTTCCCCCAATAGAGGTAGTAGAGTAAAAGATATTATCAAAAGAATCTTTTCCTTAGGTGGGCAGAATGCAAGATTGCTCAACTGGCCAATATCTCAGACGCTGAGCATAAGTGTGGGGATAGGGCAATATACTAGGTTATTCCAGATTGAAGAAATATTCAAATGATATATTTATCAGAGAAATCATACGTGGGGAGAAAATATCCAAGATCTGCATCCTGAGGAGAATAAAAGAACCATCCAGAATGGCTCAGGTCATAGTGTAATGGGAAGATCTGTCCTACACTTCTAAGTAACACTCCAGCCATACTTCCCATTAAGAGGTGCTTCCATTCAATTTCATACCAATGGGAGCACACCAACCAAATGGGGAATGCTCCATACTGACCTCACCAGCAGCCCTCTCTTAAACCTCTAGAAGAACATTGGATTGAGGAATGTGCAAGGAAAGGAGAAAGATTACTGGCGAGGACTGAACATGAAGCATCACATCTGCATAAGGATTACCACAAACATGGACAGCAAGTACTAATCAAGTGTGAGGGCAGACACACCTGGTTCTGTTGTGTTTGTTTTTGTGAAGTATGGCCTGGAAGATAAAAAATATATATACACCACTGAAGCAGTCTTGTGGAAAAACCTCATCTCAACAGCAGACATGAAACACGGGTATATGGGTTTAACACTTTTCTGCATTCTCCTGCTTAATGTGGACTTTGGGAATGAGAAGTATTCCCTGGTGGGTTCCACCATCTCTAGGTTATATACATTTTTAACGAATGGCAATGAGGGAACTTCCAGATGAGTTGTATAACCTAACTGGCTAGAGTGGAAGAAAATAACTTACTAGAACAAGAAGAAAAAAAAAAAGGCAATTGCCTTGAAAAGGGGCAGTACGACTATGGTAACAACAAACAGTTTGTTCAGGAAAAAGGTGACTATCTGAATAAGAATGATCATACAAAGAAGAAAAGCATGGGAAGTTGAATTGATGAAACATCCAATCACATTAATGAGCAATTTTGGTGAGAGAGGTATGTCCAGAGAAGAAGATTAGCTCATCCCAGTGGTAAATAGTGCAAGAAGCTTCCAAGGCAGTGATAACTCCTGTAAGCAAGAAGAAGAAATGTGTCTGAAGCATATATATCTAAAGAGATTGAACCACTCCAGAAATAGGGTGTTTCTACCAGAGTTTTAGAGTATGGGATTGGAGACCACAATAGTGGAACTTAAGTATCAAGGGAACTTGTAAAAGCAGCAATGGTAAGACTCCCATAGTGGGAACAAATCCATTGAAAACACTAGATGATGGAGAGACTACTCTGTGAGAAGGACCTGGTCTATGTGAGATAGTTGACCCACCGCCAGTCATCTAAGATATGATAAGACTGACAACTGAACATTGTGGTTGTGAACTTAAGTGAGAAAGTCTAAAGCAAGGAAAACAGAGGTTGTGAGAGTAAGTACCTCCCTAACAATTGATGGAAAAAATGACAAAGGAAGTGTTTAAATTGGTAAGGATAAGAAGACAAGAGAAATAAGACAGACAGATAAAAAGAAACAGCTCCTCTGGAGACAAAACTACAGAAATGGAACAGGTGTTCAGAACTGCACCACATCTGAACAGAGGCATTGGTTTACATGTTTTGTTTGTAGGTTTGGTTATGATCAAACACAAAAATAAACAATATGCCACATGTGCTACACTCACCACCAGTATGAAAATCCACATATTTGAGTGTCACAAGTCCTCAGACTTACCGCTGAGCCCTAGGGGCTTTGGACAGATTCCAGTCCAGGTGACATGGGAAGAGGAATGTTAAGATCACGTGGGATTGAGTGAACTATCATGACAGTGGAAGTGAAAAGAAGACAGAGGTTCTCTGGATATACTTCCATTAACTGGCAAGAATCAACTGATGGTGACATGTATGGGTACATCCAAGAGAGGCAAGAAACTGAAGATAGTCCGCAAATGAGAAAAATCCCCTCACACAGGAAATTAAGGAGGCATGAGAGCCTTGGTTTCAGACGCGCCATGTCTAAAAGACATAAAGGAGTTGGCTGAGCCTGCCCCATATAGAAATCTAGAAAAAACCCAAGTGAATGAGACACAGAGTGGAGGTAAAGACTGAATAGGAGAGCTGAACCAATCACCACAAACAAGACTGGAGAAGGGAGTTTTAAACAGTAAAAGTCACATTGGATGGGGCAAGTAGAGATCAAATGTCCATAGAGTAATAGAATAGTAGGCCTCAGGAATGTTACCTCTGAACAAAAGCCTACCAGATACAATGGAAAACATATGGAGCCACAGCCAACTCAAAAGTAAGGGCTGCAAACATTTGATCATTGTGTATGAACCAATGAAATGAATGGAGGGTGGACTAATTGGGACGAGGAGAAAGCATCCGAGACCTCAATCCAGGTCCTTCCAACCCAGAAGAGTACTCACCACATAAAGAAAAGAAACTGTCCATCTTGAACCAATGAATGACCAACGTTGGTTCAAGTGGGGCAGGAAGCCAATCATTTGTTGTTGTGGGAATGACAAAAGATAGGAGTAAAACCCAAGGGTAGGGTCAATTAATTGTTACATGGTGTTCTAATCAGATGAGATGTTAGGTAATAGCAGGAACAGGAGAGGAGGTGAACCCACAAAGCTGTGCAGAGGATGAGAAACCTGATGGGGCTCCTTGAACAAAATAGGCAAGGAACCAAATTGAGCAGAGATGACTGCTGACAAGCTACATCAGTTCAACACTCCAAAATATAAGAAACACACCTAAAAAACTCATTACAAATAAAAGGTGCAACACAGAGATTCCTGAGAGAATATTGAGGGAGGTAGATGTCAGAAAGTAAGGCAATTCAAAGAAGTACATTCTATAAAAAAATTACAAACTTGAGCAAAAGAAAAAATCAAAGTTCAAACGGAAATGTTTAAAATTTGGTATCTTTCTTCCTCATAACCAAGAAAATTAAGAAAAAAAAACTACACTACAAATGGTAACAAAAGTTTAAAATTATAAGTTCAAAAAATGCCATTAATTCCCAAGAAAAAAATATGTCTAAACAAAGCAGTGCCGGGGAAAGAATGAGCTTTGTTCAAATGCTAGTGTTCATGGAAATTACTGCAGTCTAATGATGATTACATTACAGA